TATTTTGCAACCAGTGACTCATTATCTAGTGTTTCAAAACTCTGAGCAGGCTAACAGGAGTCACCAAGAAACCAAAAAACCCCAAACAAAGAAGAGGTGAGACTCAAGTTGTACTGGCCTATGCTTATATCTAGTTCGTCAGCTCACTACTAGTGTGACCTCAGACATCCTCAGCTTTCTCAGCTGCATTCCTTCTATGTAAAATGGAGGTAGGTGCTTTCTATTTCACAGGTGGTCCTGAGGGTTACTATATGTGAGAACGGAGCACTCACCCTTCTTCATGCCCCTTGTCCCTTTTTCACCACCCCCACCTCCAAGTCTTTGAGGAGATTCCACAATAAGAACTAAAAAAAAAAAGAAAGAAAGAAAAAGAAAAAAAAAAGCAAATCACTCTTCAGACTAAAAGAAAGCTAGGCTACTAAAGAGACAGTGAGGAAAAACTCTTCATAGGGAGGTGTGAGCAGGGGAGGACAGTCTTGGCATCAGCAGTACTCTGTGTCATCTAATTCTTCAAGTCTACTGTGGAGTCCATACAGAACCACCGTGGACGACTCCAAGCTGCTGTGGAAGAACAGTTGTGGAATCACTACAAATAGCTACCATAACATCAATGTTCTCGATTCTAACTGCCACTGTTTGTAAGCAGTACCATTCATTTAATAATAGCTCGCCAAAGGAAAAGACTTTACAACACTCACAAAATATTTTTAGTAATTGATAAAACTTCCATCTTCAGATTCATAGCCTACATTTGAATCTCCACCTCCTCACAGTCACACAGTAAAGATTCTTCTGCATCACTTGGTCTTCAGCAGTTATTCACGATATCAGAATCCATGCTCATGAACTTGACTTTTTCAGTACCTTTAAAATTAAAAGCCTAACACCAAAGTCATATTTGAGAATAACCAAGGTTTTGTCTGAATTTCTTATTTGATTATATTTAACCTTGAAAAAAAAACTTTTTCCTAACTGAATTAAATAGAATTGGAAGTCAATTACATTTTGTGCAGTACAGTAAGTAATTTATATACACAATACTTTTGTTTCAGTGACATATGTAGCAGTAAGTTTTACCTAAACAATAACTAAAAGCCAAAACAAAACAAAAAAAGGTCTTTGTATTAGTTCTTCTTTCAAACCCTGATTCCAAAGCTTTCCAAATTGAAGCTTACCATCCATTAGGAGGTCAGAAAATAACTTTGTGGTCTGAGTCTAGTCTTTTAAAAAATAACAGTAGGCCGGACACGGTGGCTCAAGCCTGTAATCCCAGCATTTTATGAGGCCGAGGTGAAGGGATTGCCTGAGCCCACGGGTTCGAGAACAGGCTGGGCAACTTGGCAAGACCTCATTTCTATAATAAATAAATTTTTAAAAAATTAGCAGGCGTGGTAACGCATGCCTGTAGTTCCAGCTACTTGGAAGGCTGAGGGGGAAGGATCATCTGAGCCCAGCAAGTCAACGCTGTGTGACCGTGAGCCTATTACTGTACTCCAGCCTGGGTGACACAGTGAGACTCCAACTCAAAGAAAAAAAATTACAATAAAACAGGATAGAAAATGCCAACCTATATCACACATAGGAAAGCAGGTATTGTCTTGTTAAATTTTTGTTTTTATATATATATAAATGTGTGTGTGTGTTTGTGCTTATATACTGAGTTAAAAAGTAATTGTATTTCTTACTGTGGAAAAAGTCTGAAAGCCACTGGTGTATAGGCTCCTGAATGTCAGTGTATTAACGTACTAACAGCAGTTACACTTCCAAGAGCTCTGAATGAAGCTGTCCAGACCACAAGTAGGTGTTGCTTAGTCCTTCTATGGAAGAAGTTAAAGAAACTAAACAAATCTGAATAACTCAAATAATTAAACAAAATAAAATACATGCTTTCAATTACTGATGCACATTTTGAGCTGCAAGAAACTGATCTGCCAATAACTCCACAACAAAAAGAGAAAGAAAATATCCACTTCTTCTTTAATTCAACATTTCATCAGAATAATTATTGCCCTTTATAAAATTGAAATGGAAGCAGCCTATTAATACCCTTAAGCTTTAGCCATGATGATATTTAAGACTGAAAAAACAAACAAACAAAATATATAAGTACCTGTAAACCAAATATGAAATCACTTTTTGTAAAACTTTAATTTCTAAGACATTTAAAAAGTCACACTATAAGTATCTCATAGAAACAAACAAGACTAACAATTTGTAAACAAAACAATCTGTAAACAAAAATAATTTACCAGTGTGTCCAAACATTTTTAAAAGTAATATTACACCAGTTTTTTAAAGTTTAAAAAGTCAGTACTGCATTTATATTAACATTAAAAAAAAAAACTTCTAAGAATTCTGCTTTTATGCATTAAATCATGTGCTAAAAACAAAGCAAGTACATAAGGGCATGTCAATGATGGAAACTTAGGTTGCTGGCAGATTAAGTCATTACTGAAACTTCAGGAATGACCCATTGGCACCCAACAAAGTGAGGAGAGGCTGCACTACTGAGAGCAGGGGCATGTGCACCTTGCTGCATCTGAGAGGCAAAACAACGCAAAAGGTTTCATCCTTATCTACTAACCAGCACCTCAATACAGTAATTTAAGGAGCGAACATTACTGTATTTGTGTGTACAATTTTCATGTAAAGTCTCTTATTTGGAGGCCTATTTTTACACAGAATGTACATAAAGCTATGCAAATAGTAAGTCTAGGAAATATCTTGGAAAATCAGTAAAAAGTAATACAAATGTTATAATCTGAAAAGTTTATAATTGTAAAATAATTTACTTAAATATTGCAGAACCAGTTAATAAGAATCTGCTGAGTCTCTTCAAGAAACTCTGTAACTATAGTGCCTAATGCCCTTTTAAAACAGTTACTAAAGGTGAGAGAGAATAGAAGGACTGCTTGATTTAATGCAGTCACTGGTGTACTCCCATCCAATTAGAATTGAAATGGTAGTTCCAGAATTAATTTGCCTGTGAGTATTTGGAGCTCCATCTTTCAGGGTCTATCTACTTTCTCTTTCACTACACACAAGAACTGCAATAAAATGAAGACCCTTAAGAGTGACTGTCCTTACCAGTTTCTCAGAAAGTTTGGCCTCAGTATTCTGTACCCATTTTTTGTGGCTTGTCACACAAATTAGCATGTGTCCAATAGAAGCACCTGCATTTGGAGTAAATCTCTCACTCAAGAGGAAAATTCTTGTTCATGTGATCAGGAAAAGCCTGAAGGGGCTGTGTTGACGCAGCATTCCAAGTATATAACAATCAGTCTTTGTTACAAAAGGCATCTGAGACCCAAGGTTTGAAACTGTCTTTCTACATACTGCTCATCATCTGTTTTAACAACAATGAAGATGCTTCCAGTAAGTATTTTAGAATTTATAATTCACTTTCTAAGCTAACTGAGCCAAGTCTGGCTTAAGTCCTCAGATAGAAACTTTCAAATGAACAAAAAGTTGAGATAGACAGTGAAAATTTTAATATCTTACTAAAATATCATCAGATGTTTAACAAATAACTAGGAACTCTTTCTCTAGATGTGCCCTGAAACGAAATTGGTGTTAAAAGTGATACTAGTACACTCCTGAGTTTCTTTCTATTCTCACTTGACTTGGTCTGCTCAAAGTATGGATTCAAAGTTTCACTAAAAATCAAAGTTTGCAATTAATAATGTTTAAATAGGTATAATTAACAGTGAAATTAGGAAGATGCTAAATTTTATTAATTTTCTAGGTATGCTGAGAAATTCCCCAATAACAAACTAATGGTATTTACTGAATGTTGTTTAGAATCACAAAAATGAATGTTCTTTTATTTTAAAACCAAGCTGCATTTTTAAAAGATGTGAGGCTCAGAAGGAAATGCAGAAGTATAAATATGGGAGAAGTATACTCAGTGAGGTTTACAAATATACAGGTTAAAGTTTCTTATCATTTTGGTTCTAAGTATAAATTTTTGATGTCAAGTGGATACAGCCTGTTTTTCATAAATTTCTCCCCCAAAAAAACCTTTAAGTTCAACAATTTGAAAAAAAATGTTGTTTTACTTTTGTCTGAACACAGACAATCTATTGTCATACACACAGTGCATGTGAACATATATATTTATACAGATTGCATAACTATGAATTGTGTGGAAATGGGCCCAATTTATATTTTGCATGCACAATTTTCAGTACTCTATCCTAGTAGATGGTAACATATAGTATAAGTTCATCGATTTACTCAGTGGATTTAAAGCCAAGAAACCATCCCAATAATTATTTACAATTTAATAACTGAATGATTATCAGATCATGTTATACTACAAAATCATTCTTACATCATGAATGCTGATGCTGTGAGTTTTCCATATTAAACTGGTAACTTTTATAACTCGGAAGTTCAAAATGGCATATACAAAAATAACCAAAGCCTAAAGAATATGAGGAAAGAAGGGGTTTCGATCACTCAGCATTTATAGTTTTCATAAGCATCACAGAAGCACAGGGAATTAAGTGAGCTTTGAAAAAAATGCTTTAAAAAACTGAGTGTACATATAGCCTATAAGGCAAAATCTAAGTTACAAGTGTATTTAACACTGGCAACTATATTATCAGAGGTAATATTGAGTTATATACATATAAACTATCATTAAACTATGATTACATAATACTTCCTACCATAATACTTTCTACCATAACTTATTATACTGTACAGTAGAAGATACTCATGAGGCTTTCTATCAAGGCTCCAGGTTTAAAAGAATTTAGTATTTTCCTCTTGGCTCCAAGTCTAATCAATATCATTCTGTAACATAAATCAGAAATTATGCTTTTTTAAAAAAAATTAAAAAACATAATTTGCGATCATTACAGTTCCAACACACCCACTGCAATAATAGCATCTACAAGCAGTTTCTATAGCATTTAACAAATGCATTTTCTAGGGGGGTGTGGTGGCTCATGCCTGTAATCCCAGCACTTTGGGAGGCTGAGGCGAGAGGAGTGCTTGAGGCCAGGAGTTCAAGACCAGTGTGGGCAACAGAGTAAGTCCCCAACTCTATTAAAAAAAAAATTCTGAATAACCTTCACTTAGTACTAAGGATGCCTGTCAAGTAGGCGTCTACATTCTGAATAAAGTATATAATGGGATTTAAGTGAATCCTTAGTCCCAGCATCTTCTAACATTTTCATATCAGATGAAAAAAATTCATATAGATGACTGTATTTACTGATGTGAGCAAATGTGTCTACAGAAGAATGTGCTTTTCTGTATGTCTCTAAGGAATCTGCACTTAACTATAGACTACAGTCTATCAGAAAGTTAAATTTCAAAAAAAGATGAGCAAAAGCAAAGTTCTTACTAGAACATGAAAAAAGTAACAGACAGGCCTAGATCCTAAACATAAACCAAGGTCAGTATGAAAATGCTTCTATATCTGATAGGAATGTCATGAGTTTGGAGTTCTCAGGTCTCTTGATTGCAGAACATGCCAGCTGTGTGTCTCACAGTGCTTTCTGATGCCCATTTACAGAAGGCTTGGTTGTTTCTGAATCCCTTGAAGAATTTGATAAGTGAAGTTTATGAAGCCCTGCAGAAAAATGAAGAAAATGGTGAGAAATTATGTATTGTTGAGTGGTTGGGAAAGGGTTAGGGTAGCAGGAAGAGATTTATAAAACAGAATGTAAAGTTTTAACTTGGAAGCTGTGATGTGCTGGCCAGATCTCCTTTAGAAATGAAAGATCTCTTCTCTCAACCAGCAACCTTCCTCTGGGGAGGCCTAAGCCGAAGACAGTTATAGAGTAGGAAGTTACATCCCCTTTCAGGATGTCATGTGTGGGTCTAAAGGCCTGCCCCTTCTCAATTCAGTAGCTCTCTAAAGGGTCATCATAGTCACAACATCCCATCGGGTCAGCCAAGGCTTCCAGTGTGTCTACATTGAAGCATACGTCCTCTCTGCACAATTCCATCCTTTTCCTTTTTCCCAACCCCTATAGTAAACCTTCTTCTGGCAAGCTTATCTCCATGTAAAATATACTTCTCAAGGAACCAAACCTGAGACAGATATATTCCTGTTTTTGTTTTAAAATACACACATACATATGCCCATGCAAGAAAATGTAGGAAAAGGCATACCAAAATACTAACATGTAATTTTAAAAACTGCAAGAGATTACGTTAAAGAAAGAGCAAGCTGAATTGGCAAAAGAACAAAATGAACATAAATAATATTTCACTACTCAAAGATATTTCACAGAATAAAAAATTATCACTGCCTCTAAAATTACATGTATTTCCTTCTGGTTCATATAGCAATTATTTATATAATGTAACTGATTTAGAGAACAACATTGTGCTCTTACAAGAAGGAAGGGTAAAAGAAAATGTAACGGTTTATGTGGTAATAAAGCTTCAAGCACTTTAATAAAAATGAAGCACAATGACGTATGACAATATAGCCATGTGCCGCTTAACAACAAGGATACGAGTTGAGAAATACATTGTGAGGTGATTTCATCTTTGTATGAACATCACAGAGTGTACTTACACAAACCTAGATGATATAGCCTACTGCATACCTAGACTATATGGCATGGACTATTGCTTCTGGGCTACAAACCTGTAGCATGTTCTTGTACTGAATCCTGTAGATAACTGTAACGCAGTAGTAGGTACTTGCGTATCTAAACATATTTAAACCTAGAAAAGGTAATGCATTGCTCTATGATATTACAGCAACACTAGGCCACAGGAATTGTTCAGTTCCATTATAATCTTACATGACCACTGTAGTATAAGCAATCAGTCCATTGTTGACCAAAAGATCATTATGTGACACATAACTGTGCAAAAGCAGCACATCTAAAGGACAAGTTTTAAGAAAATAATTTTCACAAGGCTCAGACCTTTATGATTCTTCAAAGACTTACCTGGAAAAGACTTTGCCCCCTACAATTTACAATGGTAATCTACCTGACTACTAGGCAGTTTTATCTCACTCTTAAACCAACACAGTACTCCAAAATTTTAAATTTCTGTCACCTGCATATCTTAATGAAAGAAAAGGTAAAATAGAGCCTCTCTACATTTGAATGGGAAGAAAAAAAAAAATCAATGCAACACAGGAGTGGCCAAACTGCCATGGACAACAGTAACCCACAGCTGTTGGGGGTGGTGAGGTATGCTAAAATAAAGCTTGCTAGAAACAGACTGAGCAAAGAGAGGATCAATGAAGTATTCATTGACTAACTAAAACAGAATCACCCTTTTAGGATAGATTATTTGAGTTCAACCTCTAAAATTTGGGTGCAGCGTAGGGTAATGCATTCTGAAAAATTACAATGTCCCTCATCTACAGACAAACTAAAAAAAAAAAAACAAAAAACCTCCATTACTACCATCACCACAGCTAATTTTTTTTAGATGAGAAAATATAGTTTATTTAGAAAGTTAATTAGAAAGAGAGAGAAAGAGAAGATTCACCTCTCCAAGGTGGGGGACGGGGCCAAAGCCAGGAAACATGGCAACAGCCATAGATCAAAGAGAACATGGCCACACCAGAGTCTAACAAGGCAATGGCCATAGCTAAATTTTTAAGTGTTTATTATATACCAGACATTCCCTGAGATGGATGCTATCATTATCAATGAACACAGTAGCCAAGTGGAGGGGAAAGCCCACAAAAAAAGAAAGGGGATAGAGTTCCTTTTTATTTTATTTTGAGTTGGAGTCTCACTCCTTAGCCCAGGCTGGAGTGTAGTGGTACGCTCACGGCAACCCCAGCATCAACCTGCTGGGCTCCAGCGATCCTTCCACCTCAGCCTTTCAAGTAGCCGGAACGACAGATGCATGCTACCACAACTGACTAATATTTTATTTATTGTAGAGATGAGGTCTCGCCAATAGTTACCCAGGCTGGTCTTGAATCCACGGGCTCAGGCAATCCACTTACCTCGGCCTCCCAAAGTGCTGGAGTTACAGGCTGAGCCACCGAGCCTAGCTGATAGTTACATTTTTATCACGAAATTTTGATTTTCACTGAAATCATATGTATGATCTCAGATCATTCAGACATTACATATACTTAGAATCTTTTTTATGTATAAATTACCCCCTTAGAGCATCTGAGTAAATAACAAAAAAATTGAGGAAGAAAAGTAAATCCATCTACCAGACAGTTTTATGCAACTCTTGATAATTCCATTGTCTCTTATGGTCAAATAACTAATGTAATATATAAGACCTTTTATATCAGGTAAAGTTATATTTTACTACCTTAATAAAAGCTTCCTTAACAAAATGATGTCCAGAACACTTTATTCAAATGCTAAACTACTGTAATTCATTTGCAATCATCTCATTTAGTGAATCATAAGTGAAAAATTATCTGAGATTATGTCTAACTAATCTTCCTGATTTTCCAACAGGTTTAAAAATTATATTTTAACTCTAGACATTTGACTGAAAGTATTGTTTGATTCCCACTTCATCTTGTAGTTTTTAATTTGGCCAGTTTTATGACACCAAAGCCCTAAAATCTATAAATTATCTGATGCTTCAACTGAAATGAGATATAAATTTTCCCTTTTAGGCCAATATTTCATCAGCTATCCACTCACAGAACATATTCAAAGTAAAATACATATGAATAGATCATCTGGAATCTTTTTTTCCTTCCAAAGATCATCCTTTCAAACATCAAGGTTGGAAAGGCTTGGTGGTATGAGAAGCTTTATTGCTGCTCATATAGTTTAAGTTATCTGAAAATTGTACCTTAATGAATCAATCAATAGGTGGCCTTTTGCAATAGCTAAAAGCTATAGTGGAATATGGAACATAAGCATTCAAATGGTAGTAACTCAGGTAAATGTGTCAATGTCACAATTTTCTATAATAAATGCCTTCTTTTGCCACAAAATTACATACTTCAAAACCAAGATAGTTTATATGTCCTGGTATTTTTAAAGTATAAAACTTGAAACAGGCCAGGTGTGGTAGCTAACATCTGTAATCCCAGTAATTTGGGAGGAGGTGGGAGGACTGCTTGAGTTCAGGAATTTGAGATCAGCCTGGGCAATATAGCAAAACCTGGTCTCTAAAATAAATGAATGAATGAATGAATAAGTTAGGTGTGGCGTATGCCTGTATCCTAGCTACTCAGGATTGAGGCGGGAGGATTGCTTGTGCCCAGGAGTTCAAGGCTGCGGTGAGCTGTGATTGTGCCACTGCACTCCAGCCTGAGTGACACAGGGAGACTTTGACACAAAAAACAAACACTTGAAATTGAAATATGTGTAGCTCTAATGTGGAAATAAACATTTAAAAAACCCATAGGTTGTATTTGTACACTTCGGCAAAACCTGCCAATTTTTAGTACAATTACAGTGCAGGTGACTCATGGAATATATAACAATAAATCCCCTCTCTCCTATCAATGCCAAGAATGCTTGCCAAGAATGCTAACATTTTTATCCTGAATTATTTGGCTTACTGAAAAGAATTATTGGTCAGCCTGATATCTGGAAAAGCCAAGCCTCAAAAAAAAAAAAGGAAAAGGTTTAACTAAAAGATATCATTGCCAAAAAAATAAGTCTGTGACACAGTATCATCTTTACCACCACCATAACCACCAACATCATAACAATAAAGGAGCTACTGTGTACCCAGTTTTTATGCTTTGTCAAGCACTGTGCTAAGGAAATGACTCGAATTATTTCAGTTAATATTTATAACAAACAAAAGGAAGAAGATATTATCACTATTTTACAGATGAGAAAACTAAGACTTCATGAGGCAATTTTGTACAAAATCATGATCAATAAGTAGTGGATTGAATTTGACCTCTTAGATTTTACACATTTATTTGGAAAACGAAAACAGCTGAAGACTTAAAATTATTAATTAGTAGAAAGAGGGAAAAAAATACCCATAAACCTCAGGATTACCTAGGGCCTTGAAAAGTTCCTCTCGAACTGCAGAGGTGAATTTCCGGACCAGACATAATGTTGTCACAATAGCAAAAAGTAAATTGTAGGATAATACAATATAGAAATTCCCCAGCCAATTAAACCTTCCAAAGTCTCCAAGTAGATCAAATCTAGTGATTCCTGTTAAAAATAAATAAAATAGCCCTTAATAAAATCATTTCATTAGTTATACAGTAAAATACACATCAGATCAAATTCCATTGACTTTTTCATTTCTGTTATGTGAGGGACTCGAATGAATGAATAAATCACAAAACACATCCAAATACATAACTGTTGTCTAGAGGGACAACCTCTAGGCAGTCCTAACCTACTTCACATACAAGCCACAGTCACTGGCAAGTGATGAGCAATGGGGTCAGAACGAATGCCTCTTGTCATCTGATGGAATTCATGCTTACAGTAAAAATAAACCTATTGTGCTGCCCACATGGAGAGAATGGCAGACTACACGCTCCACTGAAACAGAATGACTATAACCGATAAGAGGAAATAAGAGTCATGATGAAAAAGATGCCTGAGCAAATCCTTACACCTCCCCTGCTGCTGCCTCTTTGGGGGAATTGCCTGTCCCCTCTCTTCATTCAGGACTCTGCTCAAATATACCTCCTTGGAAAGGAAGACTCTTAATTCTCTTACCTAAAACAGCTGGACACTCCATAGCCCTCTGTCCTAATTATGACTCTTCGTGGCATATATTACCTGAAATATATTTTTCCCCCTTTTTGGCTTATTTATTGCCTGTTTTCCCCACTAAAATGTCAGTTCTATAAGAACAGGACACTCCTATAATTGTTTCACTCCTATAATTCCAATGCCTAGAATAATGCCTTATACATACTTAATATGTACTACATAAATGAACAAATAGGATAATTTCCTTCCATAAAAATTGTTAGTCTGAATTTAATGTTATAGGCTTATAGAGTAAAAGGGCGAAGCTGGAAATGCAGTGGAATTATATCACATATGCACTGGAGTTACTTTAATTCAGCTGCACACATTTTAAAACATCTTTTTATTTAAAAAGTAACTTAAAAAGTCATGTGCCCCGAGTTCAATATATATTGGAAAAAATATGTGAATGGTAGGATTTTTCTGGCCATTAATAGACATACAAGTAAATCACATCATTCAAGTAGTCAGTCAAGTAAGAGATAATGGGATTGCCGACGATCTTCAAGGAAGAAATGAAGCCTACTTTGGAGCAATATAAAATTTAAACTACAGAGAGTTAGAATAAATAATAACAACTGCCTATAGGGTTGAATAAACAAAATTATGTATTTCATATTGTATGGGTGATTTAAGGATTTTATGGGTGATTTCAAGATTAACTTTGACTAAACGCAATTTCACATTATTAGCTGACTTGAGCTGAACTCTCATTCCCACTCCAGTGCCATTCTCTTATCTACTATGTAAAGCCTCCACAAAAGCAGCTTACAGAGACAAGGAGAAAAATCTTCACATATAAACAATGTAGGTGAACGTGATGGCTCACTCCTGTAAGCTCAGAACTTTGGAAGGCCAAGGCAGGAGGATCATTTGAGCCCCGGAGTTCAAGACCAGCCTAGGCAACACAGTAAGACTTTGTCTCTACAAATAATCAAAAAGTTAGCCAGGTGTGGTAGTAAGCACCTGTAGTCCCAGCTACTTGGGAGGCTCCGAGGTGGATCACCTAAACCCAGGAGGTCGAGGCTGCAATAAGTCATGATTGTGCCACTGCACTCCAGCCTGGGTGACAGAGTGAGACTTTGACTCAAAACAAACAAACAAAATAAAAAATAGAATAGAATAAAATAAAACAAACAAAAAATAAACAGTGTGATTAAAAACAGGAGATCTCAAAAGTTGCTCTTCTGTAGTTACTTCTGCCTGGGCCAATGTGTTTCAATTTGAAAGATAACACTATATCAAAATACAGGGGGTTTTTTTGTTTTTTTATTGTTTTTTTTGTTTGTTTTTTGAGTTGGAGTCTCACTGTCGCCCAGACTGAAGTGCAAAATACAGTTAAAAGACAGAAGATTAAGGATACAATAAAATACTTTTTTAAAAAGGTTAAAACAGAGACACGAGGAGACTACGCAGCAAATGTTACACACATTTATGAGATAATAACAACAATCTTAGCAGCAGTTTCTCAGTTACAAGTATTAATAAAACTTTGCGTATTAAAAGGAATACATATCTAATGATATATTTTATTTTTCAAATAAAGTACCATTTAGTTTAGCCTAGGAAGTTATCCGTAAACAAGATATTGTCCTCCAAAACAAGTTTCAGTAGTTTCAGCCCAGAAATCTCAGGTAAGTACTTTATTTAATTTATAAAGTCAAAGACTTCCTTGAAAACATGATGACAACTATGAATTTTCTCACAAGAAAGATACATGTACACACACACAAAATTTTGTATACCATGAAGCTCATTTATGAACTGATAGATCCCAAAATAAAAACCTTTACCCAGGTGTTTCATAAGAGTCTTACTTGTTCTCAAAATGCTTTTGATCATTCATTCCCATTACAAAAAAATACTTTTGAGGCCATATGGGTATATATACCTACATGTGCATACACTACTTACTACATCTTATATATAGGCAAAACAAAGATTTTTAAAATTATAACAATAAATATAAGTTCTAATATTTTCTTCAGAGTTCAATGACTTAATTTGTGAATCCAGAGAGATCACAAACTCGACTTTGGAAACCACTGGAATATGTTATGTGGTAATTCTACCACCTTTGAACATGACCTGTGTCCTAAGTTGTGACAGCACTACCACATAATGAGAGTAAAGTCATGAAGTAGAATGCATTATAATAGCAGAACAGAAGGTATGTTAGGAACAATGGGACAGTGTATCCACTGGAATTTCTTAGTGGACTCAACTTGGTATCTTGAGAATCAGGGTCAAGACCTCATATGGAACATCTAGACAAAGAACAGTCTCCATCATTAGATGTTTTGGTTCCCAGGATATTTCAGGTTGACTTCATAAACAGAAATTCCAGAGTCTATTGCAATAGTGCACTGAATAATTGGACAAAATATTACCTCATAGGGATTATTATAAAGATTATTGTTTCATATTTAATATTTTTTAAAAATCTAAGTGATACGACTAAAAGATTACTCTGAGCTAGATGTAGTGGCTCATGCCTGCTACACAGAAAAGGTGTGTGAAAGAAAGAGTTGCTCAATGTGGCAAACTTCATTGTTATCTTATTTTCAGAAACTGCCACAGCCACCCCAATCTTCAGCAATCACCACCCTGATCAGTCAGCAGACATCAATACTGAGGCAAGACCCTTCACTAGCAAAAAAAAAAAAGAAAGAAAGAAAATACAATTTGCTGAAGGCGCCAACGATTGTTACCATTTTTTAGCAATAAATTATTTTTAAATTAAGGTAGGTACATTGTTTCTTCACACAGTAGTATTGCACAATTAACAGACTACAGCATAATATAAACATACACTGAGAAAGCAATAAATTTGTGTGATCCACTTTCTCAAAATAAAGCAGGTTACAGAATTTTTTGGAACCAAACCTTCAATATCACCAAGGTATGCCTGTATGTATGAAAAAGGTGCTCAACAACTCTAATAATTAGGGAAATGCTAATCAAAACTATGAGGAGATATCAATGTCCATCTGTTAGAGTGGTTACTGTCAGGAAGATAAGAGATAACAAATGTTGACAAGGATGCAGAGAAAAAGGAATCCTTGTACACTGCTGGAAAGAATGCAAATTAATACAATCTTTATGAAAAACAGTACGGAAGTTCCTCAGAAAATTAATAATAGGCCAGGCATAATGGCTCACGCCTGTAATCTCAACACTTTGGGAGGCAGAGGTAAGAGAATTGCCTGAGCTCAGGGGTTCAAGACAAGCCTGGGCAACTTGGCAAGACCTCATCTCTACAATAAGTCAAAAAAAATCAGTCAGGTGTGGTGGCATGCACCTGTAATTCCAGCTACTTAGAAGGCTGAGGCGGAAGTACTGCCTGAGCCCAGCAAGTCAAGGTTGTGGTAGTCATGACCATGCCACTGTACTCCAGACTGGGCAATAGAGTACATTTCTGGGTATGTATCCAAAGGAATTGAAATTGGGATCATGAAAAGATGCCTGTACTGCCATGTACCTTGAAGAACGATTCACAATAGTTATGATACACAAAAAAACCTAAATGTCCTTCAACGAATGAATGGATAAAGACAATGTCATATACACACACACACACACACACACACACACACACACACACACACACACACCATAAAATTATTCAGCCTTTAAAAAGATGGAAATCCTACCATTTGTGACCACATAGATGGAGCAAAAGTAAATTATGCTAATTGAGGTAAGTCAGGTGCAGAAAGACAAATACTATCTGACTCACTTATATGTGGAATCCAAAATAGTCAAATTAATAGAAGCAGAGAGTAGGACAGTAGTTGCCAGGGATTGGAGGCAGGGGTAAATGAGGCAATATTGAATAAAGGGTACAAAGTTTCAGTTATGTTAGATGAATATGTTCTGCAGATCTAATATACAGTGTGGTGATAGCTAACAAGACTGTATTATATATGTAATTTACTAAGAGAATAAATCTTAAATCTTTTCACCACATCCACACACTTACACACACACACATACACACAATGTTAACTGCTCAGAGGTAATGGATATGTTAATTAGTTTGATTGTGGTGAATATCTCACAATGTATATGTATATCAAAATGTCACATTGTGGGTTTTAAATATAAACAAGTTAGCCGGGTGTGGTAGTGTGCGCCTGTTGTTCCAGCTACTTGGAAGGCTGAGGCAGAAG